AATATTCGATATCAATAGAATTCTTGTTTTCTCTCCCCTTGTCTTTCTATTCTCCTTAGAAGACGTACATATATTTATAACTAATTTTATCGCCTATAACCTTCTTTACACGCCATCAATCACCTCTAATGCATTTAATTGAGTCGTAGCGACTTTAATGCATTCTAGTCCATAGACACCATCATACATACTACTACAATATATATTTATTTTCTTTTATGTTCTGTTTTGTACGGAGGAGATAAGGGCCAATTTTCTTTCTTTACGGACGCCTTAATTATGAAAGTCACAGTCTTGTATTGCTCGTTATTTATTATGCTTCCGTAAATTTATAACACCACCTCCCTTTATCCCAATTCCAGTTCAAGAAACTACCACTTCTATTGTTTGAAAAATGTATATATGTTCTCTCTATATCCTAAGTAGTGTTACAAATAAATTTCGATCCTTTTCTAATGTTGATTGATTATTTATGTGTGTTGATGCAAGATTTTACAACTTGGAACGACGTCGTACCTGAAAAAGAAAGAGAAAGGTGATCAAGAGGCACTGGTGTGGTACCGGCCTAAGAGCCTTCAATGATCAAATCAGTACTAGATCAGGAGAGTGGAAAAAAGGTGAAAGGACTTTATTAGGGATTTGTGTTGTACCTTTTTTATTGACCTGAACGTCCTCTTTATAGAGGTGTCAAGTTACATTAAAATAGGAGTATTATACCTCTTACTTCTCCAATACGGAAGGAGAACTTATTCTCTTCTTTATCCGAGAAATTGGAGTTTATCCTGATTTATAAACTTGTATGACGGTTAAACTTCCTGGGTGTAGATTCCTTACTCCCCCCCCCCCCACCCACCCACCCAATTCTCATCTTTGCATGTCGAACGTAGAGAATGTAAATATTTATGTCTTAGAGTTATCCTTTACCCTGACATATTTATTAACTGGGTCAATCAGTAAAGATAGCATATACATATTTTATCTACTGAATAAATACAAATGGGCTCATCAAGCCCATCTGGTTAGCGCTTTTCATTACTATGCTAAAGGTCCCCTCCCTTTAGCACACAAATCTCTTTTTAATTAATGCTGGAATCTAGCAGGAGGAGGCTAATATGTGGCAATGCCGAAAGTTGACAAGTGGCTGCGGAAGCTGGCACTCACTGATCCCGCCTTATTTGGCCCTTTTAATATGAGTTATCCATAAAAATTCACTTTAATACAAGGACGAGAATTACGAGTTTCATTCATCCGGTGCCCTTATAGTACATGTTATTTGAATGTCAATCCCTTATAATACGGGGATACGAATTATGAGATTTATTCAGCCCGGACCCTTATATAATACGGGGCATTTAATGTCAATCCCTTATAATACGGGGATGAGAATTATAGGACTCATTCAACCTGGGCTCTTATAGTACAGGACACTCTAATGTCAATCCCTTATAATACGGGAAAGAGAATTACGAGATTCATTCAGCCCGGATCCTTATAATATGGGGCACTTTAATGTCAATCCCTTATAATACAGATATGAGAATTACGGGATTCATTCAGCCCGAACCCTTATAATACGGGACACTTTAATGTCAATCGAGGATGAGAATTACGGGATTCATTCAGCCCGAACCCTTATAATACGGAGTACTTTAATGGCAATCCCTTATAATACGTGGATGAGAATTATGGGGCACTTTAAAACAATAAAATAAATTTAAATTGAAGACAGACCTTATCAAAAGTCGGTGCAACTAAAATGAACTTTATTAATGGCGAAACTATATTCTAGCCCTAAAGCTAACTAAATATGAAAACATAGCTAGAAACCAATACGAAGCAAGTACTATGCGACACAAAACTAAAGCTAATACTAATATGGAATTTCAATTTTACTAGAACTATTTTCTAAGGTGTTCAACATTGCAGAGGTGATCTAGATGTCTTCTGCCCAGGGTTTCTAACTGGTAGGTTCCCAACTAGGAGTAATTTTCTCCTTATTGGACTCTTTGACATCACGAGTGGTTGACAAGGTCTCCTGGCAGGAACCTTCTTTCCTTCACATGAAAGTTATAATATCGAGACACCACTTACTGGTATGCTGCCTTTTAGTTCTGAGCTTGTTCTCTCCTTTATGGTGAACGTCTCTAGTCTCTATTAAACCTGCAGTACTTATCACTCGCCCTCCTTATTGGATGTGGTTTCAACTTAGATGGCCACTTTAAGGTGGGATCATCCTGGATTTATAGGAGGATCTGACTTATTGGATTGTTCAAGGGAGTGAATTTGGTGTAGCTATCCTGTCCCCTGGGTCTTTGTCACTGGCAGGCTTATTAAACTTAGCGTTTCTTTCATCTTTGAAGCTGGCGGCGAGCCTCTTCTTTGTCTCCTCTCTTATTGCCGGCTTCTTTGTTCTTCCAGTAATTCATGGGGTCTTCAGCATTCATATGTTTTTATGCCTTGACCAGTAATTCTGTCATTGTACCTGGTGGATCCTTTAATAGAGAGAACAAGAATTTGAAGTGTTGTAGTCCTCCCATGAAGGCTGTATGGGCCACTTTGTCATCCACTTCATCAACCTGTAACATCTCTACCAGCATACGACACATCCTTCTGGTGTCGGGGGGTGGGAGTACGCAACTCCCTTTGTTGATCTCCCGTTATGCTATGCTTTACTTTATCAGCATCGTCGTTGCCTTCAGCACGTGCAACGGGGATTGCTATGTGTTGCATAATTGCCGCATTTTGTTGGACCAGTTGATTCATGCCTTAACTAAGGTTTTGAATCTGTTGTTCCAACTCTACGATACGTTCCCCGTCGTTTGAAATACGCCTAGGTGCGTTCTCATGACGGGAAGCATGCACCGACCGATCTCCCCTAGCACGAGATTGGGTACATCGTGACCTGTCCCTCCCACGATGGGATTGGCTATGGTGACCGCCATCATGGTGTGACTTAGTCAAGGCATGAATCAATTGGTCCAACAAAATGCAAATTCTTTCATTTACATGAAAAAAAAGAGTGTGTGAATTTTAGAGAGAGAAATAAATGAGGGTAATTTTATCTTTTAAGTTTGTTAATATTTTGGATTAAAATGAATTAGAAAACTAGGCGTAAAATTATCTTTTCGCATGCTTTTAACGGTGTCAACAACTAAAAAAAATAAAATTGGACCTAAGTGATGATAATTTTTATAAGATATTTCAATATGATATTTGGCCAAACCTCGGGTGTCAATGAAATTAACCCTATTATCAAATTATCCATATAGCATAAAAAAATTTCATACAACTGAAAATTGTTTTTCACTTGCACACAGATGTACTATCAAACCATCCTCTTTATTTATCAATTTTTCTTATATAGGGACAAATTATCATGTAATCGTTAGGTGACACATGAAATTATCAATTTCTTTTTCTTTTTTTCTTTTTTTATAGATAAATTTAAATAAGATAAAAATGACAGTGTCACACAATTTATCTTTGGGTGATTTATTGATTTGTACACTCTAATAATATTATAAGGGAGTAAATTGTCAAAAATTTGAAAGTAAGTCCTAATAATAATTGCAGATAAGGTAGGAAATGACAGTTTTAGATACTCAAACCCTTATCATTCACTTTGGGAGGTAAATGAGATATCACTTTGACCACAAGACCTTGATCATTGACAGGCAGTTGACACCTTGTAAAATTGATGAAGTTGAGATGCGCATGTAAATCTGATCTTGTAATTGAGATGTAGTTGAGATCAAGTTATTTGGGTTTGCATTAATTGGTGGGAAGAAAGCTTCAAAAGAGCCGCTATGAGTTGGGTATGTCAGGAGAGTTGTGCCTCTGGGATTGTCATCTCTCTTCAAACCTTGTTTATTCACAACGTAGGTCCAGTTTTTGTTGCTATCTTCCAACCCTGGAAACTAGACTGCATGAGACCAGGGGTTGAGTGGTGCAGGAGGATGCAGAGCAATCTATGTGTGCTTTAGGTTAGAGGATCCAGAAGGAGAGAGGGTCTTGAACTTTTTACACCTTATTTTAGAAGGCAAGAAAGTATTATTAGGCTACAACATTTAGTAGTCAAGTCAACAAATTAGTAATTTGGGGGTGGGGGTTTGTAAAAAAAAAAAAAAAAACTAGTTTCAGGAAATTAGTGCACAACAAAGATTTGTGTAACACCTTGATTCTCAAGGAGAGTTTAGTACAATTTTCTCAAAAAGAAAACCCTCAACATTCGATCTTCAGACTGAAATCTTTGAAAAAAAAAAAAAAAAAAGAGTAATTGAGAGAGTGGGTGATTATCAATTTGTTCTCATACTTTATAACAACTCAATTATGTGTTACCTTTAAGTTGGACCAAAAAAATGAACATACATTTATTTTCGGTTTTATTATTATTTTATAAATAACTTTTTCACCCTTTTTATGTCTAATTTTGAATATAAATAATTTAGTTTGTTTATTTAACTTTATGTACCATCTTTATAGTTTCTTTGCATCTGGCACCAAATGAATTAACATTAAATACTTTAGGATCCAAGTAATTTCTAAATATTTTAGGATCCAAGTAATTTTTAAAAAACTGATGCTTTTGGACTAACATTGGTTCTAGGAAACAAGTTGTCTTTGGAGTAGGTCAGTTTGTTAGAAAACAAGGTGCGTCTGGACTTGGGTGATCCTAGAAAATAAATTTGTTTTGGGGAAAACTAGTTTTTTTTTTTGGAAAGCAAATGTATAGGAAAGAAGGCTTTTTTTAAAAAAATAATTTCAGAATACATCAAATATGTTAGGTTACTCTGTTTCGCTATTTCATTTTCTTCAATTTTGATGATTTTTTTAGTTGCTAGTTCATACCTTTAATGGGTAAGTGATAAGGCTCCATCAAACCTTAATTGGATTCTGAATTTGCAATAATAATTGACCACAAACACTGGTGATGTATAGAAAGAGAAAATTTTATTTCATATTTAAATTCCTAAAGATATATAATATTACATTGAATCAGCAGCTGTATATAATATGATGGACATACTATTACAATAACTTTTTCTTAGACTTGTATTTATATATATATATATATAATCATGCACAATAGATCAACTAAATTTATATTTGTGACTTGACTAAGATGAAGTTGGAGCACAAGCAAGGGATGCAGATGATTCACTAGAGATGGGACCAGCAGCTTCCCCAGATGCAGGACCAGCAGCTGTGGCAGATGCTGGACCAGAAGCTGCACCAGAACTTAAAAACTCGGTCATTTCACGGCGTGAACTGCTCCGTTGAGCCTTGCAGAATTCCGGCAAAAACACTCCTGTAGACGATGTTACAAACCTTATAACCTTGATGTAAATACCCAATGCATTTTGCTAGAAGGTAAAAAAATAACTTGAGTGCATATATATGCTCATGTATATTAGTAAGGGCAAAAGAAGAATGCTTGAACACAAAAATCTATTTAGTTAGGTGATTTATTTGTGCAATGATTTTATGTTTTTGACTAGATACGTTTAAAAAGTTGTAGTATTGAATATGGAATAAGATCCTTTCGTGACGTTCAGTGCACCAAAGATAGTAAGAATCACCCTAAAGCAGTGTGGAGGCTGATTAGCAACCGTATTGAGTGCACTGGAGAGGATTTTGGTCTATTGAATATGATGAGAGAGATATATTACCACCAAAAGTGTTGCTCAAGTGGTACCTCTTATTTTTTAAAGCTAGAGGGTTAAAGGTTTCTCAACACAATAAATGAATGTGTTTGTAACTTATCTACCTAAATAAAAAATGAGAAAGAAATAGTAATCAATGATGGGCCTGCAATATTAATGATATGGTATCATCAATTGTCTATTTATATTTGGTATGAAAATGGAGAAACTAAAGTCTGAAAATGGTGAGTTTGGATTATAAATTTCAGTGGGAAGCAATACTCACCTTCAGCCAAAGCCAAATTGTAGTAGAGGTCAACAATGTTGGGGCAGTTGTAGTAACACGCCGGCGAGCAGAGGCTGGCGGTGAAGCGAGGGTCGAGAAGGGAGTCCGAAGAGATGCCAAGAGAGAACCTATCAACCCCACAAGCACTCATGCACTCATCACTCTCAATCCATTCAGGCATTTTCTTCACAACCACTTCAGAAGTCTCACAATGGTATTTCATGGCTCCTCCATCGCTCGACGCGGAGGTCTCCAACGCGCATCTCTTCCCAGAAGACGCGATCGAAAATGAGCACATTCCAGCCGGCAGTTCCTCACATACAATCTCACCTACACACAGTTACACAGTACGTCAAAGGAGATGAAAAATAAGTTGGTGAAAAACAGGATCATAATAAGACTTGTTATGGGGTACTTACCAAGAGTTCCTTGTAGGAAGAGAGAGAAAACAAGGAAAATGATCATCAATGATGCCATATTGGAAAAGGTTTGTGTGTGTGTATGAATGAAGAGTGAGTAATGAGTATGTTGGTATGAAATATTTTTGGGTAGAGAAGGTGGTGTTTATATAGAGGAGAGAATAGTGAAAATCAAATAAATGACAATTTAGGAGTATAAAAATTGTTTTGGTAGGTGAAAATCAATACAAATGACACATTTTTAGGAGCATAACGAGTGGTTTTTTGGTGGTAACGAAACCGACTTGGGTTGATTCTTTGTTTTCTGTTTTGTCCAATTTTATAATAATATATGATTTTGGTTTAAATAAAGGGATCATTTAGGGGCACTTGGCAGGCTGAGATTGATTTTGACAGCCGGAGCCAACAAGCCAGGCTGCCCTTTGTTGTTATTATTGAGGCTTCTAGTTCTAACCTGAATGCTGAATTCGTTGGTTTTGTGGTGTTTGATAGGGAAATGTTTGGTTGTTCTAGTGCTAATTACGCTTGAAATTAAAGAACAACGAAATGAAAATAAAAATTGGTCCAGTATTATCCTTTTGATTATGACATGATTGTACATGTAACAACATTCAAAGGTTCAACATGTAACAATATATTCGGTGTATCCAGTGCACTGAGTCATCAGAGCCTTTCGTTCTCACACGTGTTGTGCACCAGGCATATTGAATAGAGTATCTCCTTTTCTTTCAAAATGAAAGGTGAAGAGTCAAACATCGGCATCGTCAAAATGATCCGAATAAGCACTCACAGCATCCTCATCCTCCGACTTTAGAGGATGTAACATTTTTCTGTACATAATATACATACATACAGATAAACACGCTCAAATTGGGAAACTGGACCAACTAAACAATACCCAAAAAAATTAGTCCCACTTCATGTCATCTCATAAATTTTTATTGGTTATTTTCCATTCTTATATATAATTGCTTAACTTGGTAATAGGTATTTATTGATTTCAAATTGAACCACAGGCAGGGGAGATTCTAGCAAATTGCACATCGTTAAATGATTGCCATACCCGGTGACACTTATTGTTACATGCAAGGAAAATGTCCGAGACCAAAAAAAACAATTGTGACTAACGTTTCTCAATCTCAATCTCAATCTCTATTACCTGACAATGCATTCCACATATTTTGCTACAAGTTCACGTCCATTAACAGAACATGAAGATCTTACATAAAGCATAAAAACATCTGGGAACAAAGAACTGTTTCAAAATACCACCTATTGACTAAAATCATGACAAAAATTGCCTCTTGATTGCATCGACCCTCAACCGAAAAGGAAGGAGGACATCAGAGCATGAGAGGCCGTGCAATCAGTACCTGAAGAACAAAGGAAAAGCATCAAGCTTCTTCAACTACTGGTTTTGGGGTGCTTTCTTCTTCTTTCTTCAAGCCTGGGACAACTCCTGGTTTTGGGGTGCTTGCTTCTTTTTTCTCCAAGCCTGGAATATATCTCCAACAGCGCTTGTGAACACCACTTATTTTTTTGGGAGCATCTGCAGCTGGCAAACCTGCATAAACACAGCATCAATTTACCAGGTACCTAAGAAGCACGGATACAGATACGAAACACGAATACGACACGACACCGACACGGCGACATGACAAATCCAAAAAAATTAGGACACGGGCACGACGAATAGTATATATATATATATATATATATATGATGTAATACTTTAAAAATTATTAAATGTTACTATTTTTCATCAACCTCACAATGAAAAAAAAACACAAATCATAACTCATAACTAATAAACTATATAAGAACAATGTTGCAGAGTTATAAAACCAAATAAAAAACAAGACATTAGAATAATAACTAGTATCATTTAATCATCATTGCAACTTTACTCCAAATACAAAAGCATAGACAAAAAGGATTATTAACATTCATGACTGTTTAACATTTAGGACTTTACTGTTAGCACTCAACATTCACAAAAACCTAAAGGCTAGTCCCCAAAAAACGATACAAAAACCAAGTCAGTGTACTATAATCTATTCCCATCCATCATTTGACCTAGGACTTTTACCATTTACAATACCAAAAGGGTAGTACAAAACCAAAAAAAAAAAAGAACATATCAGCATTCAAAAAAAAAAAAAAAATTTCCAGAAGTGTCCGTGCCGTGTCCATGTCCGCGGAGTGTCCGAGTCGTGTCCGAAAATTAAAAATAAAAAATTCCAGACACGTTTTTTGGCGTATCCGACGCGTGTCCGTGTCTGACACGTGTCGGACACAGATTCTTTGCCCATTTTGGAGTGTCCGTGCTTCCTAGCCAGGTACAAAGATCGAAATAACTTATGAGTAGAAAATCTGACCAAACTAGTAAATATGTTTCAGCAATTCTTATAGTTTTAAATACTACCACTGAAACTAGATAAACTCTCTTCTTAAGAAGTAAACCTGACAGACATAAATGACAATGAATAAAAATTAACCACAAATAACCAGCTATGCTCAGCTAGTAATTAGGACATTTTATGTGTTCTATCATAAGATGGACCATAATTATTCTGAGAACAATTTAATTTGGGAAAGTGAGTACCCAATTTAAACCCCTCAACATAGCGTATGATGTGTAAAATTTTCTGGATGCATTTCTATTAAAAATTAATAAAACTGGAAGCAACTTAAGAAGGCATTTTTTCCAATTCTTAAAGAACCAACACATCACAACATTTCGTGGACATTTGTATTCCTACTATAACCAGCTTCTTTTATCAACTACAGAGAGTTTTACATCCAGACTCGCAACCTATTTCTTTACCCTGTTCTATCCAGAGAGACATTTTTCAGCTAAAACCTGGGTGATCAAGATATCTCGTGCTACCACAGCCCAATACCTTTTTGACACCTTTGGTTCCAACTTCCAAACCCTTAAACTTGCACCCATCAGTCTCCTCGGAGTTTTACTCCTTAGTAGAACAGAGAATGTTAATATTGAACCTGACCAAACAATCTCATTACAAATAAGTTCGTTTTGTATCAGATCATTTAGTCTGCATAATTATCTCAACGACCCCATTTTAGCTGAGCTGAATGGACATATATCTCTTGGCTGAATTTCTTCTTCAATTTCAAAATATATCAGTGTGTATAGAATTCATCATCTCCATTATACAGCTCTAATAATATGGACAACTCTTTAATCTCTTGCTGATTTTTCCAACAACATGGACAACACAATGGGGATAGCCTTCCCCCTACCTTAAGCCTCCCGAATCCCATGTCTCACTTCCACGAGTTGAACCTTGGAGCTTTCCTAATGAAGGAAAAAGAAGATAATCTTTAAGCTAGCAGCCAGCGTTTCTTCATTATTATTGGACCAAAATAGTGACATTTCTTGATTCTTTGCAATCAATATTAACTCTCTTTAATTTTCTGTGCATAATTTACAAAGTTTAAATAAATACACAAGACAATTCTGGGTCCCCTTGAACCTACGAAGTTGTCTAGATGTTCTTCTTTGAAGAATGTCCTACCTTCCTTTATAGTTCTTGTTCTTTTCCATCTTACAATGATTTTTATTCCTTGTTAGTAAGCTACTCTAAGTAAAAACTTGCTTTTTCCCATTGCTCCAACGCTCTAAGTCCTTCATACATGTTCTAATTTGTGATGGTAGAATCGCTCGATACTCATATCAGCTCCACAAAACCCCATCATTGCTTTGTTTAGGTATAAACATAATAAGAATATCACAGAGGCTTTTCTAAATTATTATACTTTCCATGGAACCAAGTTGATTTTCTGATATGCTTTATTACTGCCTAGGAATGTACTGAACCACTGTTCAAAATTTAATGCAGGAAACCAAATAAAATGAAATTCACCATTAAGATTTTTCCAGGAGAGCTGTAATAGGGTTATGGACTGATTTCTGTGGCTAAAACCATAATGGAGCATGCTTTGAAGAGTGATTGATTTATGTGGCTAAAACCGTAATAAAGTATGCTATGAAGAGTGAACTATGGATTTTCTCAAAGATGCAAACACGTTCAGTAACTTGGTCATAATTCCTTATCTCATGTCCAGATTGCACGCACAATTTTAGGCTAGCTAGATAGCTAACTAAATAAACCTTCGAAGAACATCGAATTTAACAAATTCAAATACTATGTAACATAGACTAAAGTGATTTTTGTCCTTAACCAGTTAAGTGATGATGCTTCTATTGTCCATGTGTGGTTGCATTCCTATGAGGGTAAATTTACCATGCCATATACCTTCATATGACCCCCACCTTTTGTAGTATTTCTATGATAACATATCTTACAACACAAATTATCTTTCTAGTAGTACAGGGGCACTATAATGCATTTATGTTCTACTAATCTTATATTATTCGAAGGCGTGTCGGTGTTCAAACAACCCACAAACCTTACCGTTATCAATTGTGTTTAATTGGTAGTTTGAACAGGAGCCTTCAACATTAGTACCAAAATAAAATAATACCGAGCCCATTTAATAACTCTCATCCTTCCAAAGCCACCAAAAACACAAATGCACAATATCAAATCTGAAAATAACAGACTCATCCAACTTCCACGGAATTCGAGCAACCAGGATGCATCATCACCATCTCCCATATCCAATCTCAATTGGAACACAATCCAATTAGAAGCACTCCCTATATCAATGTTTCTCGGAAGATCTTCAACTTCAAATGCCTTAAATTTGAGAAACTATCTACAATTTCTGTTGTCACTAAGATCATTGCTAACTCCTATGACCACATCCCCTGGAACAAAATAGCTTCTTGCACCAGCTGAATTCGAAGATCTCATCAAGTGGTAGAAGTTTCAATAATGTCAGATTTTTTGTGTTACTAAGAAATGACTCCTCCTTAAGCAATTTCATTTAACAGACCAAATAGAACCATTGAACCACCAGCTCATTAAACCGACTTGATAGTCTAATAATATAGAGAGCTCCAAAGACTACTCACTCAACATGTTTCTTTTCTTTGTGTTGTTTTAAAAGGGACCAACCAGAGGCCTGATCTAGAGAAGTTCCTTTACTCATTGAACCCACTCGGTAAACTGCTGATCTAGAGAGCTTCCAAGACTATTCGCTCACCATTCAAGTGTGTAGAAGCATTAGAAGAATTCGAGTCTACCAAAGGTCCTGAGAAACCTTTAAAAAGGAAATGACTTTAGCTATAAGTCACAATATGCCTCCAACAAAACTAAACTTTCTTGTATTGTTTGGTTGATACAATTTAATCTGAGCTTGAATACCAAAAAGAAAACAACTAAATTTTCATGCCGTTCTCACTGGCAAACGGTAGAACATTCACACCCAAACATACTGTCTTGCCACATTCATTCCCCAGTTGCTTCTTCATATTGTTTTTAACATGTAGCCTCTGAACCCAGGATCATATATCACAAAGCCTATACAAACCTAATGCTCCGTTCCACAGTCTAGAAAAGTGTATGAAAAGAAAGACAAATGCACACCAAAGTTATCCATTTAGACTACAAAATGTTATTTTAAACTAACCCCTAACAAAACCATTTGGCCTCCATGAGTTGATTTTTCTATTTTTTACTTTTTGCCCCATTATTTTTGGCTTCAATTTCTCTCTTTTTTCGTCCCCATTCTCTCAAAAACCATAAGGTAATCATCAAGGAAGAACACTAAAATTCATAAAATAGGAAATGAAACTCACCATTCTTATGGACCAAACCCCAAGCTTTGCCATGTCTACCGTCCTGCAACACCCCAAAAAATCAACCCAAAAGAAAAATAATAGGTAAATATATGCACAAGTACATAGAGAGATAGTCCGCGACCTTGTAGAGATTGATCTTGACGATCTCATACGAAACACCGGTCCAGTGAGCCTTAGCCATGTGGTATCCAATTCCCCAATTGGGGAGAAAGCTAGCCACCTCGATTAGATTTTTCTTCTTCTTGCGCCTCCGCTTCTTCGTAGCCGTCTCCGCCACAGAAGATGCCGGATTTGTAGAAGTAGAAGCACTGGTTGCAGAGGACGCGCTGAAATTTCTGAGGAAGTTCAACGAAACCCTGAAGAAGTTAGCCGTTTTCTCCATTGGAGCTGCTCTGTTTGCCAGAGTACTCGCCATTTTCAGACTCTCTCTGCCCTCGACTTCAGCTTCCTAATGTGTTGTGTTACAGTGTTACATCTAGGGCTGCTGCAAGTTGTTCTGGCCCAACCCAACCCAACCTCAACCCGAATTCGGATTGGATTGGACCAGCCCGAATTGTACCCAACATGGGTTATGGCCATAATCCGGACTCAGTATTTTGACGGGTCGATCCGGGTTTCACGGCTTGAGGTTTTTTTTTTTTTTTTTAAAAAAAAAAAGGTTGTGAAAGAGAGCTCGCAGAGGACGAAGAAGAGATCGCATCGAATTCTAATCTCGAAATGGCTTTTGATTCCACAAACTCCAAATCTGAGAGAGACTTTACAGAATCATATACAGATTACAGAGCGAGAAAGTAGAGAGAGAGGCCTGGTTGGAGCTAGTGAGTATTTTGGCAGTACTCTCAGTAATTTAGAGAGAGAGAGTGGAGATAGTTTTCATCGGACGACTAAGAACGAAGAAGGAATTAGTGGGGTGATCCAAATCGGATGGGCCCTGGGCTCACTCAGTGATGTCATATTGTCGTGGGTGTGAAAGAGACTTTGCAAACAATTTTTTTAAAAAAACAATAACATGTACTGTACTATTAAAACCAAACGGTTTATGAGCTCAACAGTGAATATTGGGCGTTTGTTGCTTTATTTTTTCTAAGAATAAGTTACATTTACACCCTCTCCAGATTAGGTCATTTTTCACTCAGATGAAAATTTTAATTTTAATTTTTATTCATATTTAAAAGAGTGATTTTTCACTTGGAATGCAAGTGAAATACTTTTTAGGTATAAAATGACTACTCAACCCTTTTGACCATTTGTTGATTTAAAAAAAAAAAAATGTATTTTAATTTTTTCATGACAAAAAACGTTTGCTACATGTAACTATTGCCTTTTGCTATTCTCTCTTTTTTATTACGTTTAAAAGTTTTTTTTTATTTTTTTCCTCCTGACAATGACATTAGCTATTATAATTATTTAATTGCTTAATTAAGAAAGACTCTTATTTCTTTCTTAATTGCTTACATATCTTATTTCTTTTTTAATTGCTTGCATATTAAAATGTAAAATAATTGTTATAATCATATTAGCATCTTGCAAAATTCGAATTTTTTTTTTTTTTTTTTTAACGAAAAACCTCGTTACACCTGTAATACAATTGGCCAACAAATTTTAATTTTAATTGAAAACCTTTAAAACAATTGTAATTTTTTTTTAAACCTCTAAAATTATAACCTGTTGTAGTCCAATTTTTAAAACCTATTAGCGGATTGCAAATTTTTAAAACCCAATTGATAAGCCAAAATATGTGCTATGTCTGTAATCCAATTTTGAAAACATGTTACAGCAACTTAAAGCCTCAAAATATATCAACATATTCCCAACTTAAAGTCTCAAAATACATAAATAATTCCCAACTTAAAGTTGCAAAATATCATAAATACCAAATACCAAAAAATCCCATCTCAATGGTCCATGTTACTTTTCTTCTTCTACTTCCTAGTGTAACATGAAGCCTGAAATGAAACCAAAAATATTTATTATAATACAATTATATACCTGAGAGCTTTGTTTTTTGTTGTTATTAGGATCAATAAATGAACTACGTACCTAAGAGCCTTGTGTTGATGTGCATTGAGTTGCTCTTGTTGCCGCTGCCCTACCTAAAGCCTAATATGAAAACAAAATCATAAATAACATACAATAATGCTGAAGCCAAACAATATTGAGCCACTTCAACATCAATGTTGATATCAGTACAGCCTTTCAACATCTCAAATATGATTATCACATCTTCATCTGCTTTTACCAACATTCTCTGATCAGTTCCAAAAAATTTAAAGAAAAAATTCAATGCCGCACCTTATTGAACATCATTTTTCAGCAACACAATAACATTATTATACAGCATGACATAACTGAACTTGTTTGGATGAACATTCTCTATTACATGTATGTGTCCCTCAAAGTGAATAATGATATCATGCAATCTGTCATATGCCATTTCAACCTAGAATAACACACAACAAACATGTCAGATAATATCTTTTTTAAAATAAAATAAAAAACTTCACTGGAATTAGAAATGAAATGCAGACTCACAGAAAATTATATATATATACTCAATACACTCAAAATTCATTAATTCAATTCAGTATGAGATCAACTGAACATAAAAATTATAACCATAAATAAAAATGGCATATTTTACACGAAAAAAAAAAAAAAAAAAAAAAAAAACAAAACAAAAGGAAACAATTAAATCAGAGGATAAATTGATAGAAAAAAAAAAAAAAAAAAAAAAAGAAAAAAAAAGACTAATTGCAATCATATAATACAAAAAATATATATATACTCAATACACTCAAAATTCATCGATTCAATTTAGTATGAACATAAAAATTATAACTGTTCTAGTAGATTTTCAGAAATAAAAATAGCATATTTTACACACGGAGAAGGAAAAAAAAAAAAGAGTCTAAAACGAGAACTAGAAATTTCATTAAATTACAGTTAATAAACCTTAATTTAAGCAAACCTCCATCAAATTAGGGTTAATAAGAAATGAAATGCAAACATAAACATTTAGGGTATGATCGTACTGAAATTAGGGTTTTTCAACCGTCCAAGATTCAGTCTTTTTCATATAGGAAAACAAGATTCAGGAAGATGATCCGACAGTCCCTGAAGAGAAAGTAGTGGATTAGTTCGATTCTCCGAGCATCTATTAGCAATTGAGTCAGTTGATCTAGTTTGGGATCCTTACCCGAGCATCTATTAGCAGTTGAGTCAGTTGTATGCAACGCTTTTTCCCTCACCGGAACACATTCTGCTTTGATCTTCCCAATCCAGTTGCTTCTTTTCGCCTCTTCGTGTGTCGGTCGGTGGCTAGGTCTATATTTGGTTCGGAGAGAGATGCAGAAAGGGGTGTCGGGTGTTTGTTTGGTGTGTGTCACTTAGTGTGGGTTAGTATATAATGAGAGGGGTAGTTTTGTCTTTTAGAGTTACAGAATTTTTTTATATTAGATTGTATAATAAAAAATTAAGGGTAAAAGGATCAATTCATATGTGTCAGAATCCAAAAAACAAATTGTGGTGTAAGTGAAAGTTAAAACCCAAATATTCATCTGGGTGAAAAATGACCTAACCTCGAGGGATCTAGGTGTAATTTACCCTTTTTTTAAATCACAAATAATTCTTTGAAGGTGTATGACAATATTGAATATCAAATATGCTCGAACGCTTGTAGAATATAATTATAAATATCTTGAATAGTTAATGTTTTATTTCCTGGCAAATATAGTTGGTATGGACACAACAATGATATATTTTAGACACTTTCATTATTCGTAGGGGATTTTGTAATTATTTTATTTTTTAAAATAAAATTCAATGTAATTTAAAATATATTATAGGTTAATTAAAAAATAATATAAAATTTTGCAAAATAAAAATAACAAACATCTAACTCTATATTATTTATATATATAATAATATATATTTTATTGTTATTTTTTAATGTATTTGTACTGTATTCGTATTATTTTTTTATTATTTTAAATTTATCGTATCGTCGTGTTCGTAACATATCCGTGCTTCCTAAATTCCCCACTCTTTTGTATAATGGGTAAATAACATAAATTTTTTCTATGATTTAAAACATAACAATGACCTCTCTTGTGACATCAGCACTTTACATTGACAGATTTTATGATGAGAGAGTTACTCTAACCAAAACTACTATATGAGAGTTCAGTGTTATTTCTAAAATTATAGGACAAGTTTTTGTTATTTAGGCATTCTACCAGTGAGGTTAGTATAATTTATACCCAGAAAAACATATACATAATTTTTTCCCTTCAAAATCTCACTTTTATATATATATATATATAAATAAGTGAAACTTATTAATAGACAACTAATAGGTTATTAGTTCAATGGTATACTCTCCCTTATCCTCAAAGAAGAGATAGAGGGAGAGGTTCAAGCTGTGCGGCAATGCATTAAAAAATTATATAAATATAAAAATTATGGATCGGCAAATATTATAAAAAGTACTATATTTGAATATAAAATAAAATATAAAACAAAACTTATCAATGAGCATTAAGTCGAGATGATACAAATTTTATTCTTTAAAGAGGTGTTTGAGTGACAATATATTGTTGGTTTAAAAAAAAAAAATTTCAAAAATTCGATTACACTTTTAATTCTGCAAAAAATATTTACTTATCTTTGCCTTTCCACCCGACACTGATTGGAAACAAAGACTAGTTAAAGGGTTGTCTAATTCTTTTAGTAGTGGGTACTCTCTAATTTGTCTTTTATATTTGAGTGAAAGGAATTAAGGATTAGATTATTTCTTTTATTAGTGAGACCTCATAAAATGGGTACCCTTTAAGTTGTTTCACTTCGTATGTGTTGACTTTGTCTGCATCAGTTTCTTTTTATTTTTCTATTTGAACGAGAGGAATGGAGTTTCAATGTATCAATAAGTGAGTGGACTAAGGGTATCAAGTTTTTATTTTTTAAAGAGAGGTTAAAAGTTTGAGTCTCAGTAAAGACAGTGTGTGTAAGTATTTAATTAGAAAAAAAAAAAAAAAAAATTGAGTTTCACTGAAATGTACATGTTGCATATTGATTCTAACTTCAAATAAATTACAATTTTTTAATTTTTTATTTTTCGCAAAAAACATTGGAAAGATTTAAAAAACGTAGCACTAAAAAATAGAATACTGATGGAAAATGCAATTCTCATTTGACAAAAATGTGTACAAGAGGACTCGAAATTGATTTTTTGTTTGGTCGCTCGACTAGCTTTTCTATACAAGTGTCTCCACATCATTATTAATAATTTTTTTAAATACAAGTGTCTCCACATCATTATTAACCATTTTTTTAAAAGAATATGTTTTTTATTCCTAATAGCTACTTTTTTATTTATTTTTATTTATTTATTTTATTAGAGAGCAATTTACAGGTGAATAGCATAGTCTAGAGCAATTGCAAATGTGAATAGCATAGTCTAGTTCTATTCTATGTAACACGGATACGAACACGAACATGATATGACATGAATACGTTAGTGTGAACACGACTACATGATAATATAATTTTTTTTATTATTATACATCTATTCAGTAATAATATTATAAAACT